TCCCAGCACTAGATCATGCCTGGAATAGAATGTGTACTCAAAAGATGTTCAAAGAACTGAAGAATGTTCTGGGAAGGTCCACCAGTTTTGAAATACACACGTAGACCCAGACCTGATTCATACACAGCCCTGGAGAAAATATTACAGGTTAAAATGGAGAACAAGGCTATTCGGTGGCCTGTGAAGAGTTTATTAGGGAGGACAGCCAGAGCCAGAGCCCCAGCTCCATCCGAAGATACCCTTCCCAATCCATAGCTGACGTGCAGCAGCAGGTAGAGGAGGGCAAGTGTTTATTGTGCTTCTGGGGCTCTCCAGGCAAAGAAAAGAGAGCGAGGGTCCAGGGCAGTGATCTGAGCTCCCGAGCAAAGAAAGCCTTCAGGTCGGCCTTACCTTCATGTTGTCAGGGGGATCTCCTTGGCCTGTAGTTGCACAAACAAATATCACCAGGGGCTCATTAATCAGATTCACCTCAACAAAAAGACACACGTGTAAGACCTCGGGCTGTAACGACGAGGCATCCTCTCCGCAGCCCGGCGCCCTCCCTCGCTCATGGCGGTCGGACAAAAGGTCTCGGCGAGCGCCCGCGAGCGGCCGGCCGGCCCTTTTCCCCTGCAGGTTCCACCCTCCCACCTCGCCTGCTCCCTCCCTCCACGCGCCGGGCCAAGCCACTGTCCCAGGTTCTCCCGCCCCCTGAACCCGCCGTGAATGAAGGGCCCGCCGTCAGACAAAAGGCGGCGCCCCGCGGTCCAGGGCTCGGAGGGAGGCGGCGCCCCCGGCCGGCTCGGTCGCCCCGCCGAGGCCCCAGGGCGCCCTCACCACTGAGTAAGAGTCCAGGGCCTGCACCCGGCAGTCGAGCCGCCGGCGCCGAGCCTCGCGGCCCAGCCGCTCCGACACATCCTGAGCCGTGCCCGTCTGGCTGCCGAAGAGCACCAGAAGGCCCGGGCTCGGCATCGGGACGACCGGGAGACGCCCGCACCCACGCACCGCGCCGGCCACCGCTCCCGCAAGCCTGGGCGGCCCTGACCGGCGAGGACTTCCGGCTTCCGGCGATGGCCGGAAGTGACGCCCTCAGGCCGCGCCCGCGGGGCATGGCGTCCGAGAGAGGCGGGCGTCCGCTCGCGGCCAGCGCTGGGTCCCGGGCCAGGGCCGGGGTGTTGGCGGCACGCCAGGGCCGAGGGCCGGGACAGGCGCAGCCGCTCGCTGTCTCCCGCTCGCAGCAGCGGCGACGGCGGCAGGCGCCGGCGAGACCCGCGGGGAGAGGAGGAGCAGCTCCGCCGGCGGGACGCTCGGCCGGGCCCCGGCCCGCGCTCAAGCGGCGCGATGCTCTTCTCCCTCCGGGAGTTAGTGCAGTGGCTGGGCTTCGCCACCTTCGAGATCTTCGTGCACCTGCTGGCCCTGATGGTGTTCTCCGTGCTGCTGGCACTGCGCGTGGACGGCCTAGCCCCCGGCCTCTCCTGGTGGAACGTGTTTGTGCCCTTTTTCGCCGCCGATGGGCTCAGCACCTACTTCACCACCATCGTGTCCGTGCGCCTCTTCCAGGACGGAGAGAAGCGGTTGGCCGTGCTCCGCCTCTTCTGGGTCCTCACGGTTCTTAGCCTCAAGTTTGTCTTCGAGATGTTACTGTGCCAGAAGCTGGTGGAACAGACTCGGGAGCTCTGGTTCGGCTTGATCACGTCTCCAGTCTTCATTCTCCTGCAGCTGCTCATGATCCGCGCCTGTCGGGTCAACTAGCCTCGCAGAAAGGCCGGAGAGAGAACTCTGGATAGCTAGGATGCTGGACCCCAAGCTGAGGTCCCACTTCCACCGCGCCAAAGGAGAAGTCTGGGTCTGAAAGCAAAGTCAGCTCCTGCCCTGGCGAGTGCCCGATTTTCTCTATACCGATCATGTCTAAAAGTGTTCCCTCAGCAGGGCAAAAGAGAGCAGCCTTGATCCTGAAAATGTATTTCTTGTTATTTCATGCTTTGAATAGCTAATCCTGAATTGAGATGCTGAGAAGGACCCAGGCCAGACAGTGCAGAGTTCCTCTGACAGTTGGAAACTGCATATATGTAAAATGCCCCGATGGGCTCTGAGTATTTTCATGGATCTTGGAAGAGTACTCCTTGTGCAAAGGCTGCAAAGCCGGACTCGGGGATTTCCTCTGCCCAGCGGCGCTGACCTAAGAGCCCACTGCCCCATCCATCCAGACAAGACTTAGATGCTTGAGCTCTAAGTGGTGTAAACGAGCTTGTGTCTCCTCCCCTGAGCCCCTGGGGAGGATGGCCCTTTCTTCATTCCAGCCCAGGCAGACAGAAGTATGTTGAATAAGCATGATTGGGACCCTATATTTGGAGATCTGCCACCTGAGAGAACTTCGCTTATAAAGCACTGCTTAGCTTCCTATCCCAGTCGATTGCAACTTTTCCACCACCTTGTGGCCAGCACTGTTAGCACACCTGAGACAGATTTAGGTCTCCCTAAGGGACCAGAGAGAGGAACAGCTTTGATGCTCACAGGCACTGAGACCTGCAAATGGTCTTGGCCCACGTTTGTTGGGCTGGGGTCTTTAGTTTAATGCCAGTCAGGTGCCAAATGAGAACGTTTGCTGAGATAAAAATAAAATAAGAATGTTTTGCTGAGATGTGCAGTGGTTGCCTGAGCTCTTGAGGGTGAAATCAGATGAATGCTGAGATGCTGCCCCCTGTGTCATGTAGCTGGTTACAAACTGTGGGAGACTGGAATGTACTAGAGCTTCATTGGTGGGTGGGGGCATTCCCTCGGAGAAGCCTGTCTTCCTGCCCGGGGAGCCAGGGTGAAGACAACATAGGGTAGGCCTGTGTTGAGGCACTGCTGAATAGTTTGTGTGACATCAGAGCCTTGTCTTCCTGCCAGTGTGTGGTCTTTATAGGCCTTGCGGTGGAGCAGGGGTCAACAAACTATGGCCTGAGGCCTGTTTTTGTACTGCCCATTAGCTGAGAGTGATTTTTTGCATTTTCAAAGGGTTATAAAAACAAAGAGCATGTGACAGCAAGTGAATGTGGCTTGCAGTTGGCACTCTTGGCCTTTTGGGTCAAATCATTCTTTGATTGGGGTGGGGAGTGGTGCTGTTCTGAGCATTGTAGAATGTTTAGCAGCATCCCTGGCCTCTACTCACTAGACGCCAGGAGCACCCCTCACTTGTGACAAGCAGAAGTGTCTCCATACATTAAAAAGTCTGGGAGACAAAGCTGTCCCTGGTGAGAACTGCCTAAAAATAAAATATTTACTGTCTGGCCCTTTACAGAACAGATTTGCAGACCTTTATTTTAGTGAAGCAGCTTTGTGACCCTCTGCCTAGAATGGATGCTGCATGGCCTGAGCCATTGAGATGCTTGCGTTGGAGACTGGTCTGGTTTGTCCCACAGCTACAACAATGTTTTCTACCTAGGATTGGCATAATTTGTGTCAAAATCAGAAGATGAACATTGCCAGTGGGTTTTCTTTGTTTTGTTTTATATTTTTATTATTTAAATTTCATTTACGTAATTTCTACAGCCAATGTGGGGCTCGAACTCAGGACCCCGAGATCAAGAGTCGCATGCTTCTCTGACTGAGCCAGCCAGGTGCCCTGGGAGTGGGTTTTCTTTTAATGTTATTTTTAGGTTGCATGTTTTGTTGTATCCTGTTTTATTTTGTAGTTCAGAATTGAGCCATCCTGTTGCTATAGAAGTGATGAGCATAAGACGGCTTAGTTTCCTTTGGAAAAGTGATTTGATCAGAGTCCTGAAAAGGAGACACTTGACTTCTGGAAGGCTGAAATCCAGTTTATTTTCTTGGCTTAGTAGAGTGGAAAGGAGTAAGTCAATGTTAAAGTAGTTGTCGTGCAGACCACCATGGGGCCCGGAAGCTGAGAAGGGCACCCGGGTTGAAACCTGCCCGCAGTCTATGTGGAGCCCCAGGTGTCCTTGGAGCCCTGTCGCTGAAAGGTGAGGGCCGTAGAATGCAGTGGTGCCATTACTGAGCAAGTGCTGAGTGCAGGAGAGCTGAGGGGAAGACAGGTAGCATCCCTCTGTGTCAGTGCCCCCTAATCTCGTCTCCCCTTGGCTTCACTGGGCCTCAAAAGTGTGGTGGGTGCTGGGAGTGAGCTTCTTCACGGCAAGGGCAAGAAAGCTGGGCCCTTAAGGTCACTGGCACCCCTACTAGCCTTGGGATGGGGGAAGTTCAGAAGATGAAAGAGGAGCGTGGGGAGGCAACAGGGTGGAATGTACAGCCTGGCTTTCGTGGCTGTCTGCATTGGAGAGCTTTCTCTCTCCAGCTTCTGCACTCCTGTTCCTGCTCAGTGGGCCCTGGATGGCAAAGTGTGGGGTAGGGCTTCTGCTACTTGTGTGAACAACAGAGTGAGTTCTGGGGGCTGGCAAAAGCTAGGGGTTCCTGAGAAGCAGTTCCTCAGCACTGCGTGGGGCTCCAGCATTAGCCTCTCCCAAGTCCTGCAGAGGACCTAGGACCCCAGGTGGGCAGTCCCTGAACCAGCGGGGACAGCTTTCCAGTCCTGGGCAGGCCCTTCTTCCACTGCGTTCTGAGCGTGAGGAACAGGTGGACTGGGTGCTGGCACGGTGAGGAACGACCGAGCCCAGCCAACGTCACCCACCTAGCTGGGCCCAGGGTCACGGGGGGCACCGCCGGCCTGGACCCGGCCCCGCCGGGCTCCGCCCTCCGGTCCTCGCAGGCCAATGGCGCAGAGGCGGAAGTGGGGCCGCCAATGAGCGGCGAGGGGTCGGAGGCGTGTCCAGGAGGGCAGTCCCAATGGCAACCGGCTCGGAGCCTGGCGCTCTCCAACTAGGCCCCCCGGGAAAGAGAGGTCAGGGAGCGCAGTCTCCAATCAGCGCGGCTGGCCATTCTCCTCTGCCATAGGTGGGGCCGCGGGGAGCGGGGCGGGTCCGAGCCGGCCCCTCCCCAGGAGACGGCGGCCGGGGGGCGTGGCCGCGGCGCGAAGGCCGGCGGCGGGCGGAGGCCGCAGTTCCCCGCGCGAGCGCTGGCTCCGGCGCCCGCTCCGCAGCATGGCCGGCCTGGGGCGGCCGGGCCCGGGGCCCCCGCGCCGCGCTGCCCGCCTGGAAACGGGAGATCTTGGAGCGGAAGCGGGCCAAGCTGGCCGCCTTGGGCGGGGGCGCGGCTCCCGAGCCCGGGGCCGAGGCGGGCGCGGCGGAGACCTCGGAGCCGGCGGCCGAGCGGCTCGTGCTGGCCGAGAGCCTGGGCCCGCTGCGCGAGAACCCGTTCATGCGGCTCGAATCGGAGCGGCGGCGCGGGACGCGGCGCGGCGGGGGCGAGGGGCCGGCGGGGGCGCGGCCGGTGCAACACCTGCTGGAGCTGTACCGCCGCGTGCCCGGTGTGCGCACCATCCACGCCGACAACATCCTCATCATCGAGTCGGCACCGGGCTTCCCGCCCGCCGGCCCCGGCCCGGGCCCCGGCCCGGCCGCCCGCATCCGCGCCGCTGAGGTGCTCGTGTACGAGGCGCCGCCGCCGCCGCCCGGGCGCGTCAGCCGCCTGCTCCAGAAGTTCGACGCCCCGGCCGCGCCGACCCGCCGCGGGAGCCCGGAACGCGGACGTACCCCGCCGCCGCAGCCACCGCCTGCTCCCGGCCCCGCCGCCCGGCGCGTGGGTGAGGGCGCCGCCTGCTTGGAGCCTGAGCGCCGCGCTACAGGCCCCGGGGCGCGGCGCAGCGACTTCCTGCAGAAGACCGGCAGCAACTCCTTCACCGTCCACCCTCGGGGCCTGCACCGCAGCGCGGGCCCTCGCCCGCTCCGCAACGAGCCTGCAGCCCCCGCGTCCCGAGCCGGCGCTGCCAACGGCCTCGCGGGCTCTGCGCCCGGGCCGGGCGAGTGGAAGCCAAAGGTGGAGTCGGGGGAGGCCCCCGTCCACCCGCCCCCCAGCCCCGGGACCCCCAGTGCCACTCCAGCCGCGTGCCTGGCCTTGCCCACACCCAGCCCCGCCAGTGCCACTCCCAGCCAGCGCCAGTGGGTCTCCGCGGCCACCAGCGCCAATGCCTCCTTTGAGATACGGCCGGCCTCCAAGCCAGACATGGATGGGATCCCTGCTGGGGACCTCCAGGCCCGGGCCCTGGCCAGCCTCCGTGTGAACTCCCGAAACTCCTTCGTGTTCATCCCCAAGCGCAAAGACTCTGGGGCCCCTCCTCCTGAAGGGAGGCAGGCCAGGGGGCTGCCAGAGAGCGAGGTTGGCTGGGCCTCCCAAAGCCTGGAGCTCGAAGCCCAGCTGGTGCCTGGAAGGGATAGCGTGCCTGCCAGAGCGAGGAGCCCCTTGGGGGTCGAGGAGGGGGCCTCCCCCAGGCCAGCTACTGCCCTCGTGGACAAGGCTGTTCAACAGCAGAGGCTGTCCTCACCATCCCTGTGTCCGTCAGCTGCTGCCGAAGCTAAGCCTGCCCAGGGCCTCGGGGTTCCCAGCTTGGCCAAGAACGGCAGGGAGCCTGGGAGGCCAGGGTTGCCTGTTACCTTCATTGATGAGGTGGACTCAGAGGATGAGGTCCCCCAAGAAGCCAAATTGCACTGCTTGGGGGCTGGTGGGCCTCCTTGGTACCACCCGCACCCCACTGGGCCTGGGCACCCGTCAGGGCGCCAGCCCCGAGGTGGCAACACCTTCACTGTGGTGCCCAAGAGAAAACCAGGGCCCCTGCAGAGCAATGGGGAGCCCGGGCCACAGGAGGCTGAGGAGGAGGCAGGCAGCTTGTCAGATCCCCCTGCCGCCCTGGGGACCACACTGAAGAAGCGCTATCCCACCGTGCATGAGATTGAGGTGATTGGTGGCTACCTGACTCTAGAGAAGTCCTGCCTCACCAAGGCTGGCTCCTCGAGAAAGAAGGTCAGTGGGGGGAGCAGGGGGGAGAGCCACTGGCTGGGAGGGAGAGAGAGGTCACGGGTCACAGAGCTGTGGGTCTAGCATGTGCCCGCTTCCTAGGACACTGGGCTTGGCTGGAGGATGGCTTCTTTGTGGACCAGAGGAGACCCTGGACTGGGTGGCCATGCAAGCTCCAGGAGGGGCTGAGCTGGGGAGGGAGGATCCCTGGTTTGGGCTCCAGTAGAGCCCTAATGGCCCAGAGGGGACAGCGTAAGGTGTACTTTGTAAGGCTGTGGGGAGGTCAGTCCAGCCAGCACCATGGCTGCCGTTCTGTTCCTGCGGCTGCATCTGGAATTGGTGGGGCACACCTGTCTCATCGTGGGTCCAGCTGGAACAAGTAGTTCTGGGCCTCTTGGTTCCACGCTGGCCCTGGCTTCTTGGCCTTCTGGAGTCCTGGCCTATGTGGGTCGCAGGTGCCAGGACAGAAGTGGGAAGGCACCGGAGGCCTGTGATTTGGGTGTGGTCAGATCCCTACCCCACTGTCAGCCTAGGGGTGCAGCACTGGGAACCACTCAGTGGGAGGCTGTCAACTCCCCCAGAAGGCATGTTGGCCTGGAGCTCAGCAGGACCTGGCTTCATGCAAGTGTTTCTTGAACGTCTAGCGTGTGCCAGGCCTGGGGTGTGATGCTGGAAGCAGTGTAGACTCTCCCCCTCACTGGGGAGGATGGGCCTCAGGCAGAGACCCAGCTGCAAGACCAGGAGCCCTGCTGGAGCCTTAATCCCCATCTGCCCAGTGGCCTGGAACCCTCTGGGCTCAAGGAAACGTTCCTCAGATTCTTCCTGGTCATTCTAGCATCTGGGTCCGGCCCAGGGGCAAATTCCAAAGCCAGCCCCACCTGACCCCCATCAGCAGACGCGGGGCAGTTGTGCCTTGCCCTGGAACGGAGATGGCGCCTGGCAGGCTTCTCCGTTGGCTCCATTGAAGCTACCTTTGCCACCACCCTCAAGTTCCTTGGAGCGATGGGGGTGGTGATGTGCTTTGTGTCACCAAAGCCCCCCGTCGCTGGTGTGGGCTGGTTGTCTAATCACGTGAGCCACCTCCTCCCTCTCTTTGCCATGGGTTGGCCTTGCACTGCTCTTCCTGCATGTATCCTCCCCTCCTCCTTGGGTGAGGGCATTGGTGCTCCCGCCCGCTCCATCTGCTGGGACAGGCGTCCACACCCACCTGCCTTTGGTACTTCCGGTGGGCCCATCTTGCCTGCCTGACCTTGACTCACCCTCTCTTTAGTGCTATGGGCCACAACTCTCCCACCCTCGCTCCTGCCCTTTGCCGTGGTCCTCAGCCCTACGTCCCCACTCCTGCTCCCTGACTGTTGACCCTGAACTGGGAGGCAGTACCTTTCCTTGCTGGCCCCAAGAAGTGGAGGTGATAGCCCCCCACTTTGTGGTTGAGGAACCTAAGGGTGGCTGGAGGTCGTGGGGCAGGAATTGAGTGCTAGTTTCTGTTTCTAGAGCCCCTACTCCTTCCTCCCCCAGCTGGGGAAAGCGCTGTGGGGGTCATTTGTGGCAGGGTTGGGGTGAGAAGGGCAGGAGGAGGTGATGGGAGGAAGCAGGCCCTGGCCCAGAGTGGAGAGCAATTCAGACCAACCTGGCCCTGATCTCTGTGCCAGCCTGAGGGCGTTGGGGGTCCAGATGGATTGCCTGGCAGGGCCAAGCGGCCAAGCTAGCCCTTGCCAGAGCAGCACAATCTATCGGAGGTGACTTCTGGCTTGTGAGCACTGCCCCACCCCCTGCACCAGCTGCCCTGCCCAGGAAGAGCCAGAACTCCTGTTGCGTGGGGCAGAGGTGTGGGGCCGCCCAGCCTTCAGAGCAGTCTGCATTCCCTGGAGTTCCTCCTGACTGTAGCCCCTGGGCATTGCTCCCGCTATTCCTCCGGACCCTGGGCTGCTGGACCACTCCAGCCAGCCTGTGGCTTGGATCATTGTCCGGCTCGCCCCCCTCCCGACTGGGGACCTTGGGGCCCACTGCTCACCTTGACCCCTGCATGGCTGGCCGACTGGGGTAGTGGTGGGAGGGGCTGGGGCCTTTCCCAGGTGGCAGGTGAGGTATGGCTCTCCTGGGCAGCCTGCCCCGGAGCCGGCAGGTCTGTGTGCTGTGCCCTTGCTGGACCTCGGAGGGCTATAGCCCTGTCCAGGGTGGTGGGGGTGCCCAGCTGGACAGTGTAACCTGGGAGGCCTGCCTGGGGGGACCTGTCCCGACTTGGTTGTCTCTGGGTAGAATTGCAGATGTCCTATCTGTCCCTCCCCTGACGGCCAGGCAGGGGCTAGCTGCTGTGGGGCATGGTGGCCATGCCCCCTCTCACCTCTGCCCCAACCCCCAGGTGGTGGTTGGTGGGACTCTCCAGCTGCTTTCCTCACCCGCCTCCCACAGGGTTGTTGGGTTGGTGCTGTGGGCCTCTCCCCTTTGTGAGGTGCCCCCGGCCAGGCTCCTGCATGTCTGATGACTCCTTCCCCTCCCCCCTGCCCTCCTCACCTCCTTACCTGCTGGTTCTCTGCGCAGCCTGAGTGTGTCAGCGTCCCCAGAGCTCAGTCTGCGACACCCTAGGCCATCTGCCCTCACCTGTGGTGTAAGTGCCACCCCAACACCCCAGTTTTGCTGGCCGGGTCGTGGCCCTCAGCCTCACTCGGGTGCTTAGAGCTGTGGTGCAGCCAGCTGCCCTGGGAACCTGCTTCCCCACCTGCTTTTCTTTTTTTTTTTTTTTTTAAAGATTTTATTTATTTGAGAGAGAGAGAGCACATGAGAGGGGGGGAGGGTCAGAGGGAGAAGCAGGCTCCCCGCTCGCGGGACTCGATCCCGGGACTCCGGGATCATGACCTGAGCCGAAGGCAGTCGCTTAACCAACTGAGCCACCCAGGCGCCCCCCACCTGCTCTTCTGCACCCTCCCACCTCCCCTGTGTCCTGCCCCCCCTTCTCGCCCTTCCCACTCCCCCAGGTCTTCTGCAGGTGCCCCCCCGCCCCCATGTGGGCTTTCTAAAGCCCGGTGCCACGAGAGCAGGCTGGACCCTGCTCCACCAGCTTCCCCACTGGCAGAGGGTCTGCCCTGGGCTGGTGCTGCACTTGACTGGGGGCATCAGGAAGCAGGTGTGGGAGCTTTGGCAAAGGCTGTGTGGGGTGGTCCTGTTGTGCCCCAGAGTGCAGACTGAGTGGAGGATGGGAGGAGGCGGCTGTGTGCTGGGGAGCGAGGGCAGGGCGGTGCTCACCATCAGCACGGGCTGGTTGAACCCAGCTCCCAGACCAGAGTCCAGGGTGGACGCCCTTCAGTAACCCAAGCTGGGTGTGCACAGGTAGGGCGGGGTGAGGGGGGCAAAGGGCCTGTGGGAGGTGGGCCAATCCAGGAACCACCTGCCGGCTACGCTTGGCGCAGCGGGCAAAGTCCCCCCCTCCCCCCAGCCAGGTGTGCATGAGTGCCAGCCCCTGGCCACTCCCAGCTTGTCTGCTCGGGGCTAGAGGCTGGCCCCTTCCCAGCAGCATTCGTCACAGGCTGTCCTGTGACCCAGAGACCTGCACCCACAAGGAGGCCTGTGAGCCCCACCGGGCTATAGAGTGTGGAGACTGAAGGGGAGGTGGGATGTGACCCAAGCCCGGGGCCCCAGCTGGGCGCAGACAGTGGCCTGGGAGCACCGCCCGCCCCTGCCTGGCCAGGCCGTGCCAGGCTCAGTGCCCCATGTGTGCCCAGCCCCCTCGGTCTCCCCACTAGGAGCTGGTCATGTGGACTAATGAGGGCACACTAATCCAGCCGGGCCCTGGCAGCCAGCCCTTCCTTTGTCTTCAGTGGTGGGGGATGGGCCTGGAGGGCCCAGGGTCGTTGAGGACAATGCTGTGGACCCAGGGGTGACTGGAAGCCCCTGGGTTGGCAGTCCCGTCCTGCTTGGGCTTCTGTCCTGCTAGGCCTGGGTGGGTGGGGGCAGCTGGAGGGCTGGGGCGGGCCTGTGTGGGGGCAGGGCAGCGCAGGTAGAGAGGGACAGTGCACCTTCAAGTGACAGGAGCAGGTATTTTGCTTAGTTTTGCCTGACTCAGGTGGTCTGCACCTGCCTGCTCTTATCCATGACCACTCGTATGTGCAGCCAGCTGGGACAAAGAAGACGGGGCCTGGGCCTGAGATTTGCCCAGCGGATGTCTGTGTGTGCACCATGCTGAGATGGGGATGCCCACCGCTGTGGGGGCTGTGTGTTCACGGGTGGTTGTGGGAGGAGCGTGGTGGGGTGCCAGGAACAGGTGCCCTTGTTTCTGGGCACTGGCTCAGCCTGGCATTGCCCCCTGAGACCAGTGCTGGGGGGTCCCTCTGCTGCCCAGGCCGTCCTGCTGTCCCCGGGCCCCATGGTGCTTTGCCTGGGGGCCCAGTTCCTGACTCCGGCTCCTTCCAAGGGAGAAGGAGGAACTTGAGCCGGCTGCTGGTGTCCTGTGCTCGGGAGTTTAATGTTTCGAGCTCCCGTAGGGCTGCCCCCATCTGCTGCAGGCTGGTGGCTCTCGGATTCATTACCAACCTGCCGGGCCTGGCTGAGCCCTGCTGAGCAAGCGTGGGGGGCCTGTGGCTGGGGAGGGGAGTCCTGGGTCAAGGAGGGCGAGGGTCTGCCTGCAGTCCTGCTCTTTCCTGACCCAACTTCCTCTCAGAGCCAGCAGCCTGGCCTGGACTCTGAGGCTGTTGGGAGAGGAGAGGATTTGCTCAGGCATGAAATTCTGTAGCCTGCGAAGTGGACAGGGTGGACTCGGGCCACATGGGTAGTCCAGGTGGGAGGAAAGGGTCCCCACAACCCCCACTGGGAGCAGCTTTGCTCTAACGCTGACTCAGTCTGTAAAACAGGGTGATGGCCTTGGTGCCGCCTTCCTGGGGCTTGGGTGTGCCAGCCACCCTGCTTTGTCACTTTGTGGGGACCCTGGGGCTTGGGTGTGCCCTGTCCTTGCCCAGCAGCAGTGTCCGTGCTGAGCTGTGCAGGCAGCCTCATTCAGGTGGCTAGCGAGCCAAGATGTGAACTCAGTCCTGGAGAGAGGCCCCAGCCGACAGCAGAACTGCTGGTAGCTGAGAAGGTAGGGCCTCCCAGAATGTGGGCCCCCCGAAGTACGGTCCACCTGGACCCTGCTCCTGCCCTAGAGCTGCCATAGAAGCTTCTGGAGACCCTGAGGCTTTGAGCTCCTGCTGGCTTCGATCTGGTCCTGGGAGGGGTAGGCTACTTGAGGTGACTTGACCCTGGGCCCGGGGTGGGAAGCGATGGATGGGGCCTGGGATGCAGGTGTTTAGACACACTGGCCCTGGGTTGCCATGGGCATCCAGACCCAGTCTTCCTGGGGTCCTTCTGGCCCGGGCCTACAGGGAACAGGTAAAGGAGTTGTCTCTGATGAGGGGCAGCTCCTTCACCTTTCAGCTCCTGAAGGGCTGATGGCATGCTCTGCTACCCGCCTGGGCCTGACAACCTCTACCATATTCTTCGGGGTCACTGGGCCCAGCTCGGTCGGGCTCAAGTCCCGCTGGTGGCCAGGCAGCAGGGCCCCACTGATGTGCCTCCTGCCCGTAGATGAAGATCTCCTTTAATGACAAGCGCCTGCAGACCACGTTTGAGTACCCTCCTGAGAGCTCCCTGGTGCAGGAGGAGGAGGCTGAGGCCCAGGAAGGGGTGGAGGAGGACGAGGAGGAGGAGGAGGAGTCCAGCTCAGATGGGGTGGTGGAGAAGCCCTTTGCGCTCTTCCTGCCCCGAGCCACTTTTGTGAACAGTGTGGGGCCTGAGAGCCCTCGCCTGCCGGACGGCAGCTCAGGTGAGTGCCCGCCTGTTAGAACGGGTGGCCCAGTGGGTCGCCCGGGCCACACATCCACACGTGTGCCTCTCGGCCCGCAGGCCTGTCCAGCTACACTCCAAAGCACTCCATGACCTTCGGTAAATGGCAGGGGCAGACGCTGGAGCAGGCTCCAAGTGAGGGAGAGCCCGCACCAAAGGAGGTCATGGTGAGCAGGGGTGGGACTAGGAGGGCAGACACGGGACAGGGTGGATGGGGTGGGTCTCTAATGCCTGGATGAGCCCCATCCACTCCCTCCGTGTCCCTCTCTCTCAGCTCACCCCTGCCAGTCAGAATGACTTCTCAGACTTCCGCAGCGAGCCAGCTCTCTATTTCTGACCGCGGCCCTGCCAGGATGGCCAAGGCTGAGCCCTGGGAGCCGGGCAGTGCCCAGGAGCCCTGCCCTCATTCTGCACCCCCCTTCTGCCCTGCCAGGCTCTGCCCTGCCATATCCCACCCTCCCTTCCTGGGGCCTCACAGCTGTGCTGGTGCTCAGCCTGAGCCTAGGGCCCTGGGGGCTCCTGCCTCCCCTGGGGCTGAGTCTTGCTCTCCAGCCCTGATCTGGGGGCACTGCCTGTGGAGGACGGACAGGGTCCTGCTGGACACCATGCCCGGCAGCTGTCCGATGTGTGTGAAGGGCCAGCTTGGCTGCCTGTCCTCTGTGGGGCTTTAAGCCATTCCCAGCCCGCACCCCCCAACAGCAGACCTCAACCCGCCCACCCTCTTTGTGATGAAATGGCAAGTCTTGTGTTTGATGATGGATTCAATAAATAGCACTGGACAAGGCCACTTCTGCCTTACCGTGTGGTCCTTGGCCGGAGAAGCAGGGAGCAGGGCTGGGCCTGGGGGGCTCCCCCGAGGCCCTGGCAGTGGGGAGGAGGGTACGTAGGAGCCTGGCTAGGACGTCTGCCCAGGTATGGGGGTGGCCGTGTGTGGCACCCCCACACATTGCAACCACATGTGGTCCAGGCGTTCACTCCCTACCACCCCCTTGTCTGGGAGAGGGACCTTCCTGCGAGCACTTCTGGCCTTTGGGGCCGCCCCCTCCCAACCAGGGCTGACGTAGTGGGAGCTGTGGTGGGAGGGGCACTTCAGGCTTGCTCTGGGGTCTGGCACTCTGGCAGGATGGGAGTGCTTGGGAGGGGATGAGGAGCGGGCAGGGGCTGGGCAGAGCCTCCTGTGTGGCTCAGAAAGCTACCTGACCCACAGGAACCTGCAGCAAGGTTGTGGCAGGCAGACCACTTCCCTGGGGTCGGTGCTAGCGGCTGGCAGGCAGACCCAGCAGATCCCGAGCCGTGATGGGAGATGCAGAGCCGCCTGCTCAGCAGCAGCCTGGAGCTGGGGAGCTGGGGCTGTTTATGGTCCAGGCACTGAACACAAGTGTATCCCCCCTGAAAAGTCAAGCCCATGAGGAATGGTGCCTGGCCAAGCTTGGGAAGGAGGAGGGTGTTTTTAGTGTTTTCCTGGGCGGGGTGGGCCCGGGTTTTTCCAGACCCTCTCAAGCAATACATGCTTCCCAAACCTGCCTAACCCCTCCAAGCAGTAGTCGTAGGGACCCCATAGGGGCTGACAGGCCAGCAGATGGTCGCAGAGAGGACTCGGGATGGAGGACTGGGCCCCAGGCAGCGTGGAAGGCTGGAAGCGTGCGTGCTTGGTGTGACCAGAGACAGTGGGAAGCAGCGGAGCCACTGGGCTAAGTTCAGAATCCTGGAGCTGGGGGGTGGCAGCCCTGTCTGGAGGCCCTGTGCCGAGAGCGCGTCTCTCTGGGCCAGAGCTTGTGCTGGTCATAGGGCATGACACAGACCAGGACCAATAGACAGACCACCTCCCAAAGGGTAGCCTAAGTGGAGTTGGGGAAGAGGGGCCAGCAGCCCTGGTGGGGAGAAAGAGTGGGTGACAAGGTCACAGGAAATGCTCAAGGGTATCCTCAACTCTGTCTTCAAAGCCAACGGGCCTTGTTATGGGAAAAGCCGCTCCAGGCTTTCCTCTCCCAAGGAGGAGCCGTACCACAGCTGGGCAGGGGCTCATATCGATTCTGGGGGTGTCCGGCAGTCCTACACTCAAAACACAGACCACAGGCAGTAGCGTATCTTTACAAAGACAATCTTTATTGACAGTCATAGGCTACCAAGCCAAGCTCCAAGGTGGAGGTCCCCAGCCCCTCGCCCACTCCCCTGGCCTGGGCACCATGGTGAGCGCACTGCCATGGTGCTGAGACTAGGGAGCAGGGTTTACTGGCAGCACAGGGGGATGTGGGGTCCTCAGGCCCTGAGCAGGAGTGGCCCAGAGCCTGGCCAAACCAAATCCTGCAGGGCCAGGACCCCTACCTGGTGGGCTGTGCCCAGGGCTGTCCTCATCACCTGGGGCGGGTGGAGCTTGGCAACGGCCTCTTGGTACCCAAGACAGTGAAAGGAGGCAGCTGCTACCGTGAAGAGCAAAGACACGTAGAAGACAGATTGTCAGAGGCCCAACCATTGACAGGTTCGGGGGGGGGGGGGGCAGGCCCCTCCGGCCTATGGCCGGTCAGCTGTCCTTGCCCCCGCCGCCACTCTTCTGCTCTGAGGCTGTGGCCTTGGTCAAGTTCCCAGCCTCCCTCTTCAGGACACTGAGCAGAGTCTGCGAGCTCTCCAGGATCTGCAAACAGACGTGTGATGGTCACCACCGTTCCACCATCAGGAAGCTCCCACCAGGCCAGCGCCAGCCCCTGGGGCAGAAGCACGGAGAGGAAGCCCCTGAGGGGAGGGTCGGACAGGGTCAGCAGGGCCCCCTTCCCCTGAGTCTAGCCCAGAGGCCCCTCCTCGCACCCTGGGAAGCCAGGCTAGGTTAGCTCCGGCCAGCGGCATGCAGCCCCCGCCCACCCCGCCAGGTGCCGCGAGCCCCACCTTTAGGTAGGCGGCCTCCGTCTCCGCGATGGTCCGGTCAAACTCGTTGCGAGAGGCAATCTTGCGCGCCAGGTTCTCGTTGACTCGAGCCAGTTTCTCCGTCAGCTGCCTCACCTCATTCTGCAGCCGCTGCTTCTCATCCTCCTCCTGCTGGATCTGCCGACACAGCTCCTCTCGCTTCTGGCACAACTCCTCGATGCCTGGGGGAGGGCCGAGTGCAGGGCAGGCGCTGTGGACCCAGGCAGGGCAGGAAGGAGCGCAGCACCCCTCCCACTCTGGAGCCCACCGCCTGCTACGAGAAGCGTGCTGGCCGGGCCACCGTCCACCCGAGCCAGGCTGGTGTCCCACCTCCCAGGGGCTCTAGGGTCAAGGAAAGCCCAGCACCAGACCTCGGGCGCGCGCCGGGGAGGCAGTGCGCGCTCCAGCGGCCCGTTCTTGCGCTCGCTCCGCAGACACCCAGCGCCCGGTGTGCGGCACGGCCTCCGGTGCCGTCCGGGCCGAGACCCCCACGCACGGACCATGCAGCCCGCTCGGCCACGCGCGGCGGGCCCGCTACCGCCTGGGCCTGCAAGCCGGCGAGCCCCGCGCCCTCCCAGCCCGCCCGGTGGACCGCGCCGCGCGGTCGCTCACACTTAACCAGCTCGTTGTTGTAGTTCTGCAGCGCCGCGCCCTGCTGGGTCATGGTCGCCGCCGGGGCCGCGACCGCCCCAACCGCCGCTGCCGCATCGCCGCCCGCGCCTGCGCGCTGCCCAAGACGTCACCGCCGCGCGCCTCTCGTGTGCGTCATCGCGGCGCGCCGCGCCCGCGGGGTCTGGGAAGCTAGGGGGCCGCACGGATGGCGGCGGCGGGGCGCGACGGCGACCCCGGGCCTGCGCAGGAGCTGTTGGTGGCCTGGAATACCGTGAGCACCGGGCTGGTGCCGCCGGCCGCTCTGGGACTGGTGAGGCCGGGAGAGGGCGGCGGGGCCCCCGGGACGTCCGCCCTGGGGTTCGTTCGGCTCCCCGGGCAGCCTAGCGTCGGTTGCAGCTTCCCCTCCGCTGCGTCCCTTCCGCGCTTGTCCCCGCCTGTCCCCGCCCTCCACCTCCAGTCTGCGTTCCCCCCTCACTCCAGGCGTCCTCCCGGACCAGCGGTGCGGTGCCGCCAAAGGAGGAGGAGCTCCGGGCGGCGGTGGAGGTTTTGAGGGGCCACGGCCTGCATGCGGTCCTGGAGGAGTGGTTTGTGGAGGTGCTGCAGAACGACCTGCAGGCCAACATCTCCCTCGAGTTCTGGAATGCCATCGCCCAGCGAGAGAACCACGCAGACGAGCCCCAGTGCCTGCTGCTGCTCCTTGACGCTTTCGGCCTGTTGGAGAGCCGGCTGGATCCCTACCTGCACAGCCTGGAGCTGCTGGAGAAGTGGACTCGCCTGGGCTTGCTGATGGGCGCAGGCGCTCAGGGGCTGCGGGAGAAAGTCCACACCACGTTGCGGGGCGTCCTGTTCTTTTCCACCCCCAGAACCTTTCAGGACATGATTCAGCGCCTCTACGGTCGCTTTCTGCGGGTGTACATGCAGAGTAAGCGGAAGGGGGAAGGGGGCACAGACCCGGAGCTGGAGGGAGAGTTGGACAGCAGGTATGCCCGGCGGCGGTACTTCCGGCTTCTGCAGAGCCCGCTGTGTGCGGGATGCGGCAGCGACAAGCAGCACTGCTGGTGCCGCCAGGCCCTGGAGCGGTTCCACCAGCTCAGCCAGGCCCTGTGAGTACGCGCGCCTTGCGCCTCTTCTTGACTCCGTTACCGTCCCGGGTCCAGCGGGCCTCTTGAGCGGGCTGGTGAGCTGGCTGGGGGCGGGGCATGACAAAGGTGGGGTCCCTAGGATCTCTGTGCGCTGAACTTACACGTCCTGCGCTGGACACAGGTGTGTCTCTGCCACGCACGTTAGCCCCAGGCTTCCCACTTTACCTGCACTAAGATCCTACGTGATTCCAAATTGCCTGGGCCAGGTAGATTTCGGCTCTGCCTTGTGTAGGCTCTCCAGGAAAGGGATGGCATCTCTTCTCCCCTGTAGTTGCAAAAGTGGACTTACTTTTTTTACTCTTTACAGCGCAAGCTGGGGATTAGGCCAACGTGCTGTGCAAGCAGATTGCCTTTCCAGCCCTTTAAAGAGGAAAGGATTTTGTTGCTGTTAAAGCCAGGTTCTGACCTATGGGCCTTTTGTCCTTTGTGGTTGCTTATAATGATTTTGTCACATTGAGTGAAGCGCCAGCAGTGGTTAGGAAGGGAGTGGTCTTGTTGCTGGCAGGGGGAGGGAGGCCCTGTATGGCTTCTGCTGGGTTCATCCCAGATGAAAGATGCACAGAAATGTTCTTTCTCCTCTTTTCTTGAGCCCCTTTGCCGTTGTGGACCAGGGTCTGCACCAAAACGCCTAAGTGGGGACTTCTGTACTCACGTGGTGTATTTAGCTGTTGTTTCAGAGCCGTGTTTAGGAGATGAGGCTTTGGCCCTGAGAGCCAAACCCAGTGCTCACATGAGGAAGGCCAGTGTCTAACCCGGGCAGAGAGGCCAGCTGGGGAGGGCAGGGCTCTGTCCTCCCATCAACTTTTTCTTGAAGCCTTTGTTACTGAGGGCACTGGGTGTGGGGGAAAGGAGCGTGGTCTGCATGCTCCATGGGCAGGGCTCTCTTCCAGACACAGGCTCAGTCTGTTGGAGCGGGTCAGTGCCGAGGCTGTGACCACCACCCTGCACCAGGTGACCAGGGAGAGGATGGAGGACCGCTGCCGGGGCGAGTATGAGCGCTCCTTCTTGCGTGAGTTCCACAAGGTAAGGACAGCCCCTCAGGCCCTGTCCCTCGGGGGTTGTAGAAGAGGTTTCTGGCAAACCTGACCCCCTGGTTTTAGAAGCAGCGAAACTATGGAGACTTGGGTGAACTAGGACCTGGCTGGTGGTCAGAGCTGGCTGGGTGAAGGCTGGCCCTTCCCAGCCTTCCTTGGTGACAGTGAGAAAGAGCCTGCGACGTGTCGGTGAGGTCTGAGCAGAATCACTTGGCTGGAGGCAGTGCCTAGGTCTAGGGTGTCCCAGTGAGGGCTCTCGGGGCACCCACCCTGTTGGGGGCATGGTCTGGGGCTCTGTTCTGGACTCACCAGAGCTGTGAAGGTGCTGGGTCCAGCCGCAGGGGACTGTCCAGCCTGCTCCTATTTTTTGCCTATTCTCTTCCACCGTCTCCTGAGAATGCAGATTAGCTGTGATGGAGAGTCCAAGCAAGTGTCCCTACAGCAGTGGTCTTGAGTGGGTGTGAGCCCAGAGGCCTGGCTGGGGTACCTGTGTTGTCCCCGCTTAGCAGGGCATCCAGATGTTCTCATCAGTGGCTGTATAGTTTGTGGGAGAACGTATGCATCCTGGGGTCTATGTGGCCACATTGCCTGTACACGCACGTGTGCTCGGAAGGGTCCTTACCTCTGTCTGCTGTGGCTGGTCAGGTACGTGGCCCACAGGGTGTGTCTGTCCACCGAGGCAGAGGTGAGCATTCTCTCCGTGCCCTGCATCAGGGCCACTGTTGCCAGAGAGAAGTCTGGGCACACTGATGGCAGGCCTGGGGTGCCCCCTTTGGGCCCATTATCCTGCGGATTTCGATGTGCTCCTACTCCAGAGTAGGCGGCCTTGGGGACTGCCCAGGGCTGTGTGGCTGCTCCTGGCCTCTGTTCCACGTCAGGCTGGGGCTCAGCACCTCACCTGTGCTCTTCCAACAGTGGATCGAGAGGGTGGTGGGCTGGCTGGGCAAGGTATTCCTGCAGGACGGTCCAGCCAGGCCCGCATCCCCTGAGGCTGGCACCACGCTGCGTCGCTGGCACTGCCACGTGCAGAGGTTCTTCTACCGGATCTACGCCAGCCTGCGCATCGAGGAGCTCTTCAGCATCATCCGAGGTTGGCCCCCTGCCCTCTGGAGTAGCCCACCTTCCTGGGCCTTTGCCCTTCAGATCTGGCAGGCAGTGAGGGGCGCTTGGGCAGAGCGGGGGCCCGCCAGCGTGGGCTGCCCCCAGCTCAGTGTCTGGGTCAGGGCAGTGGACAGGGCTTCCGGGCGTCCACACTCATCCTCTCAGCCTCACGTCCCTGCTCTGTCCTTCTGCACCATGGGGGGTGCGGGCACAGGAGGGCGCAAGGATGATCTGAAGCACCTAGCAGGTGTTTCTCGGGGTTACTGAGTGGAGGTGCGGCTGCTCAGCCTCTGGGCCCTGCCGACTGGAGTCCTTTGTTGCACGCACAGTGTGTGTGTGCTGGCGTGTGTGTGCAAGGGCTGGTGCTCTTCTGCAGACTTCCCGGACTCGCGGCCAGCCATCGAGGACCTCAAGTACTGTCTGGAGAGGACTGACCAGAGGCAGCAGCTGCTCCTGTCCCTCAAGGCTGCCCTGGAGACGCGCCTCCTCCATCCAGGTGCCAAAGCTGCTGCCTGAGAGTCCGGCCTCCCTGCCCCGGGGCCTGTGTAGGGCGTGGGTTTGTGCAGTCCTCAGGAGGGCCAGGGCACTCCACTTCATCCTCCCTTGAAGGGAGTCACGGGAAATGAGGGGTGTGGCCTAGAGGCAGAGGTGATGGATGATCCTTTCAGAACAGACCACCCGGTGAGCGGGGGCTGGGATCTTGGAAAATTCTGGGGAAGGCACCCGAGAGTTGGGGGAGAAGGGGCCCGCGTCCTGCATGTCACACTGGTTTCCTGGGGAGTGCGGTCACAGTGGCGACCGGAAGCCCGCCTGGCCAGGGTGCAGCTGCTCGCTTGTGGAACCACCACTCCTGGGTGCTGTGGGGACTACCATCCTCCCTCCTGGCCGTAGGTGTGAACACGTGCGACATCATCACCCTCTACATATCCGCCATCAAGGCCCTGCGTGTACTAGACCCATCCATGGTCATCCTGGAGGTGGCCTGTGAGCCCATTCGCCGCTACCTGAGGTGAGCGCCGCGGGCAGGCCCCGGGGAGTGGATCCGACTTGGGGCCTAGTCTCCTGGCTCCATGCACACAGCCAAGCTCCCCTGGGTCCTCTTGGGCCATGTGGCCTGGCCCCAAGGCCAAGGCTCCTTCCTCTTGCTGGTGACCTGTTGCCTAGTGCGTGGACACTGGCCCCACCGTGCACCCCTGCCCTCTATGCCTTCCCCTCCTCCCAGCCCAGAGAGGCCCCCAGACCCTGGGCTCAGCGTCTCCTGCAACGAGGCCCAGGGACTGCCAGCTGGGCTCTCAGAGAACATGTTTGACCGGGTGCCCCGCCCATGGCACAACTGCCCAGAAACCCCTCGGAATGGTGGAGGCTCAGGGCTGGGGCTGGAGCTGTCCTGACTCACATCTGCTGCCTCTCGGTGGGAAGCGCCTGGTCTCGGTTCTGTCTTGTTTTTTGTTTTAAGATTTTATTTTATTTTGAGAGAGAGGGAGAGTGTGTGCACCAGCAGGGGAGATGGGGAGAGGGAGAAGCAGACCCCCTGCTGAGCAGGAAGCCCAACGCAGGACTCGGTCCCAGGACCCTGGGATCATGACCTGAGCCGAAGGCAAATCCTCCACTGACTGAGCCCCCCAGGCGCCTTGGTTTTGTCTTATTATTTCATTTCTTGGTGTTCCCAGAAAATGGTGGGTTTTTATTTTAGTTTTAGTATCATTATTTTTTTTTTTTAAGATTTTATTTATTTATTTGACAGAGACACAGCGAGAGAGGGAACACAAGCAGGGGGAGTGGGAGAGGGAGAAGCAGGCTTCCCGCCAAGCAGGGAGCCCGACGCGGGGCTCGATCCCAGGACCCTGTGATCAGGAC